GTGTATGTTGATGATTTAAATATCATTGGAACTCCTAGGGAGCTTCCTAAAGCAGTAGAGCTTCCTAAAGCAGTAGATTATTTAAAGAAAGAATTTGAAATGAAAGATCTTGAAAACACAAAAATTTATCTTGGTCTACAAATTGAGTATATGAAAGATGAAATTTTTGTCCATCAATCAGCATACACTAACATGATTTTAAAACGATTTTATATGGATAAAGCACATCCATTCCAACCTCATGAAAATAATGAAGAGCTTCTTGGTCCCGAAGTACCATATCCTAGTGCAATTGGTGCACTAATGTATCTTTCTAACATTACAAGGTCTGACATAACTTTTTTAGATAATGTCTTAACAAGATATAGCTCTGCTCCTACAAGGAGACATTGGAATGGAATCAAACACATATTGCGGTATCTAAAAGGGACTACCGATATGGGATTATTTTATGGCAATGATTGCAGTCTCGATCTTGTTGGTTATGCCGATGCTGGGTATTTATATGACCCACACAAGGCTCGATCTCAAACAGGCTATGTGTTTACATATGGAGGCATTGCCATATCTTGACGATCGACTAAGCAATCAATCGTGGCTACATCATCTAATCATGATGAGATAATTGCTATTCATGAAGCAAGTCGAGAATGTGTATGGTTGAGGTCTATAATACACCTTATTCGAGACAAATGTGGTTTGAAGTGTGACAAACTACCCACAATTTTGTATGAAGACAATGCAGCATGCATAGCCCAGTTGAAGGGATGATTCATAAAAGGGGATAGGACAAAGCACATTTCACCAAAGTTATTTTTCACACATGATCTTCAAAAGAATGGTGATATCAATGTGCAACAGATCCGTTCAAGTGATAATATGGCTGATTTGTTCACCAAATCTCTACCGACGTCAACCTTCAAGAAACTAGTGTACAAGATTGGAATGCGAAGGCTCAAGGATGTGAATTGATGCTCTCATCAGGGGGAGTTAATACGCGTTGTACTCTTTTTCCCTTACAAGGTTTTGTCCCACTGGGTTTTCCTTGCAAGGTTTTTAACGAGGCAACCAAAAGACGTATTTCTAAACATGTGTACTCTTTTTCCTTCACAAAGATGTTTTTTCCCATAGGATTTTTTCCTAATAAGGTTTTAACGAGGCACATTATCTATGGACATCCAAGGGGGAGTGTAATAAGAAAAATCAAATTATGGTGGATGTCTACTCTTACTCCATGATCTTCTCAAATGATTAATGACTTATTGAATGACATATTTCTATGCTTAATGACATATTCAATGACATATTTTTCCTCACTTTTCATGCCTATATAAAGGCTTTGTAATAGATAGGAAAATACATACAATTGAAGAAGAAATAAGAATCTCTCATCTCTTTCTCTCTATATTTCTTAGCTTGTTTTTCCTTGTTCTATATTGTTACTTTGAGTTATATTTTATAACATTAATCCAATTTTTACATACAAGGGACTGATATAAGGAGTTTTTAGACTTAAACGCTAAAGCTCAAAATCTGACTTCACAAGTTCACACGTTGCGACTTTCTATGACCTCGACCAAAATTTAGCTCATCTTGGTAAATGGCAAGACCATCCAACTATCCGTTTAGACAAGCTTCGCCACTACCATTACAGCGATTTCTAGATCTATATGTGATTTGCAGAAAGCAAATGCTATACATTGAAATTATATGAGAAGAACTGTACAAGTAGCCATCTGTTTAAAATACTATCTCATCTACCTCTTTATCAACTTTCGTACACATTTTTTGCAGGCCATTGTAGTATACATAACCTATGCCTTCATCTCATTTAACTATTTCTACTGCATTTAAGTTACTCTGCCTAAGCCTGAAAGGATGTCTACCTTTCTATTAGTTATCCTACTGTGTATCTACATATCTCTAGCTTACTGAGAAGGCTTGATTGTCGAAGCAGTTTGTAGAAAGAGAAGGGAGGGTATGTCCCTGATCCGATATCCACTTCCCCAGAAAGAGGCAAGACAAAGGCCCATGATAGCCATTGCAACTACAGAACATGCAGGAGGGACCGCTTGAGTGCTCCCAAGGAATTGAGTTGCAAGAAGCCCTGCCAGCGTGGAACTCTGCATTCCTGTGCATAGTGAAATTGTCCTGCAGACTTTTTCTTCAAACCTGCCATTGTACAAATTATTATATATAGATGATTTTCGAATTACACTTGATAAATGGTCTTATATTACCTAGACGAGTTCTTCGGTTAAGAATGAACATGCAATTAGTAAGTGGTCAATAGAATTATATCACAACTAAAAATGTCATATAAATGCATGTTTTACTCTTCAAGCCCACATTATGGCAATAAATTGAAACAATTCGATATAAGAGTTTCAGCACCAAGAGTTGAACATTTTAACTTTTCAAGAAATCTAGTAAACTGAAGAATTCAGATATGATTTTAAGCACCCATTAACCGGCAGATGCTCCACCTAATAATTGGCGTATGTCACAGGTCAATTGATATGAAGGAAAAGTGTTTTTCTTTTGCAATGGTGGTGTCCAGGCAAGCTTGCGCATACCTCGACTATCCACCGGGTACGTGGCTACCTCCCACCAGCACAACTACCGGGTAACTCTGCCCACCAAGGCTTAGGCAAATGAAAAATTAAGCAAATGTATGTTTTAACTAATGCAAAGCTATTCCACAGGAGCAACTGACACGCTCTTGCATCACTAAGATAAAACAGAGATGAAACAGCGTGCGGATAATCTGTTTGACTGTGAAATCAGAAATACCTTAATATGGTGCAGTGGATGGTATATTGATGAGTATCGTATAATTAAATAACTAGAAACAAATCCAAAGGAACAACTATCATGATGGAAAATGTGTCACAAGTATACTGCTTTTATCACAGATGTATTTCATCACATACTACAGGAAGCGGATAGAAGAGACTAGGCAATTACCTAAAAAATGGAAGTTTCGAGAACCAATAACCCACTGCAAATGCCACTGCATGAAATGTCAGTACAGGACCAATCAACCTGGCACCCTCAGCAGAAAGAATCTGAGCACGGTTGATTGCAAGAGGACTGCCAATACACAGTGAAGTACAAATCATGGCAACGAAAGGCATCACAGGTTGAATAACAGATACTACTGGTTTTGCATAGGTGTTCAGCGCTAAGCCAAGAGTGACTGGGAGAAGAACGACCTGCAAAGACAGTAAACGAATGACTATGGACACATTTTGACGTAGATGGCTGAGGAATTATGATATAAAAAGCTTTTCACCTGTAATGTTTGGTATACTACAATTACACTAATTATCAAGCAGCAATTGTGTAAGGGCATTTGATACCTGCAAGATTGACTTTGACATTGCAATTGCATCAACTGGAACGACTGAACCAATGAGAAGGCCAGTTAAAAGTGGAGTAACAAGAACTGAAGCAATGGTGCTTGAACTGGTCAAGAGAATACTGAACGCCACGTCACTTTTGCTCAAGAAGCTTGCATAACTTGATAATTGAGCCCCAGCAACACAAGACATCAGGACAAAACCAGCGTAGAATGTCTGAGGCATCCCAAATGCCTGTGCTACAATTATGCCAAGAGCTGGCTTCAGGACATATTGAGCAATGAATCCAACAGATAAGGGCAAAGGTCTGCAACCAACAAAGCTCAAAAGCTTTAATACCAAACTATCTCACCAATGATCAGGTCCATAAAACTAGTAAAATTGGCCAAACCTTTTAATAGCGAGAGCAAAATCATCAATGGAAAGTCTAATTCCAATTGACAACATGATTCCTCCAAGCGCAGGAGCGTACAATTCTTTAGACACCCTGCATTTTCCTCTATCGATTATACAAAGCAACAATATACAATGTTTAAGAAAGCATAAAGTGGTAACTCAAAGCAAGATTTTAACCCCAGCAAGAGTATATTAGAAAGCTAAGTTGCTCGGACTCGGGTGCAGGCATCCGATACGGCACGGATCCGAGTGTCGGATTCGGCAAAATCTAAACTTTAAGATTCGGGGTTGCGGATCCAGGCATGGATACGGGTGTGGGGATTCGGTTAAAACAATAGAGCTATAAGTCCGACCTCAGAACACGACCCCTTGAATTCTTGGTTTTTCTGGAACACAAAGCAGCAAATACGAGACAAAAGTACTACAATATAGAAGGTATGCCATTTCGCATGTCTTAAATCTGTTTTATTTTTAATTTTGAGAAATCAAAATCTCAATTTCCTCCCAAATTTGTTGATAGACTCAGGTCAAAGTATCCGAATTTAGTTGACCGAATCCGGGATGTATCCCGCTCCCGTCCTGTGTCAAGTCGGGTGGGGCACCAAAAACGAAGAGTTCGCGCAACTTAGCTAGAAAGAAGTAAAACATGCCCCAGGAAGAAAGTAAATTCGATTTCCCCTAAATAAACTTCAGTTTCAGAATCTGATACATTATTTACTAGTTTATGTTATGATCGTTGCTGATATAAGTAGAACTCCATCTTATGGCTATTAGTCTATGTTTGGCCAAGCTGCAAAAATCAACTTATTTTGAGAAGTGCTTTTTCTCAAAAGTACTTTTGATGAGAAGCAGTTTGTGTTTGGCTAATTAATTTGAAAAACATTTCTGAGCAGCAATTAGTGTTTGGCCAAGTTTTTAAAAACGGCTTCTAAGTGTATTTTTCTCAAGAGAAGCTACTTTTTCTGTTTCTCCAAAACTGCTTCCGCTTCTCTTCAAAAGCGCTTTTTTTTATTCCAAAAACTTGGTCAAACACTTCAATTTTTGGAAAAAAATACTTTTGGTATAAAAAATGCATTTTTGGCCAAAACAAGCTTGGCCAAAAAGGCTATAAGATATACAAAAACAGAGGAATATACCGTAGGCCACAGTGAATGTGAAAGGGATTAGCTTCACCTGCAAGATATTAGTACTCCTGTTTATTTTACTCATAAACCCAAAAAAGGTATGCAGAACTAAACTTAAACAATAAATTATAAATGCATCCCCTATAATAACTTATCTAATAGCTAAACTTTGGGAGTTTTCATTCAACCCTTTTCAACAAAACATTTTACTAAAGAAAAAAGATAAAATTAAATACAAACATACAAACTAAAATGAAAAACAAATGTAAAAATCAATTGGGACAAGATTTCAACTGACAGTCCACTAAACCTACCTAAACCCCTCCGAAAAGAAAAGGTTCAAAAAAGACATTCCTACGAAATGATTTCTTAACAAGCAGAAATTACTGAAAGCAATAACTAAAAAGCACAATAATTTATTACAGTTAGAGTTCCGCAATGAAATAAAAGGTAAACACAAGTGATCATTACCAAGTGAAAGTGGAAGGTTGAGAAAGAGCAGCAACAGCAGTGAGTGCCACAACAAATGGAAGCAATGCAGACAAAGCTTGTGAATAATCCGCCTTTTCGTCTTCGACATAAAAACTCCTCGGATTTGCACCAAACGACAGTAACGAAAAGTTACCTTCCCGTCTATGCAAACCCACTCTCCCAATTAACGGCGACGAAGTCGAACACGCAACGGCGTTTAACGAGCCCCCATTAAGACATTTTACGTTTTTTATAGCTTGAAAGCTTAAATATCGGTTCTTGCTATGCAAAATTGAGAAATTGGAGTTTGAAGAAGATATTGAATTGGGGAATAAAAGAAAAGGTTTTGGGTATTTAAGGGATAAAGATGGAATTAATGACATTTTGAGGTTGAAGGGTAGCTTCACCGGCGAGTATGAATGTTTCCGATCGCCGGAGAAAATTGGGTTCTTTCCCGGCGGGGTAAGAAAAAGAAATGAGAGGAGCAAAGCGCATAAGCGATGATTACTAAAACACTGATTGAATAATTGAATAATGAAAGGAGAAACTTTTTTTTATTGTGTTACGCTGACGCAAGTTCTCTTTACAGTAGTAAGTTATTCATAAGTCATTTATACTTGACTTGCAAGATTTATAGCTGCGCCCGCGGCGTAGGAGATTTCTACTCCCAAGTATGCACGGGTATTTGCAATGTCGCCCTCATCTAACTAATATTTACCTGTAAACTCTTCAGTTTCTTTTTATTTATTTATTTGTGAAATTCTTTATAACGTGGACAATTTTCCGTCATGTATATGTAAGAAAGAAGCTACTTTTATAACCTTTGAAGTATTTTATGATTTTTATAAATTGACTACTCCTATTTTTTAAACAATTCAACTTTATTTCTGTGTTTTTAATATTTAATTACTTATAATCTAATAATAGTATCTCAATTTTTTCATCAGAAGTTACATACTTTTGCAAATATATTATTGGTGTCGATCAAATTGAAAGACATCAACAGTACTATATAACACTTATTTTTGAAAAAAAATATGGTTCTTTAAAAGTAGAAATTATGGTTCTAATCAAAGCTAAATTTAATGTTGAAGTCGCCAAATTAAATTCTATTTTACTTGTTCCCGGCATTTGTATGGTTTAGTCTTAAAAAAAAGTAATTTGAAGTTAAATTAAAAAAAATATATTTAAAAATTAAAATCGCGGTGGACATATATTTCACTCGAAAAATATTAAAGTTTGTGAGAGAAAAGTATTTACTTGAAAAGGAGGTAAAAACTACTTCTCCAAATTTAAAATTCATCTTCAATTTTATTTTAAAATTCAGCTTCAAAAATTTAATTAAATGCATAATTAATTAATATTTTGCAGATAAGTTTTGAAAAAAAATATTTATGATAGAAAACAATCTCTAGAGCCATAGAATAGAGATTGGAATTAAACCTTCCCTGGCAAAAGAAAAATCATAATTCCAGGTGGTAGACTTTTGCTAGATAAATTATGGATAAAAGTGTAGAATATTCCCCGGGAAAGTATTGGGGAGAAAAATAGTAATACTAGGAAATGGAATCCTCGTGAGAAATAAAAATGCAAAAGGGCATGGGGCAATGAAGGTGTCAGAAATGAGGTCAGAAAAATCCAAGTGTGAACCACAGTCCAGTAGTGTGATATTTCTAGATAGATAGCTCCGTCCATAAAAGAAGAGAAATAGAGAGAGATATGAAATTTGCCGTGTGCTGGTTCCTTCCAGAACTTTCCGAACACATGTCAACTACATGCAACTTTGCTAACAACAGATAAGTGGTCTAAAATTATGTAACTCAGCTTCCACCAATTGTTATATGTAGTCGAGGTGGTTATATATTATTTTTTTTAAAAGTAATAGTACTTCCACACTCTCAATTTATGAGGTATACATATTTTTAGGTTGTTTAACAAAATATTATATTTTTTTATTTAAAAATAATTTTATTTTATCCTGGTCTATAACTACACAAATATTTATGACTTAAATTTCAAAAAAGAATTTTTTTCTTAAATTTCGTGTCCAATCAAACGCGATTATATAGATAAAAAGTGTTATACTCCTTCGGTTTTATTTTATAACCACACTTTTTTTTTTAAATTAGTCAAAAAGTAATATATTTCTATATTGTAATGCTATTGAACTATAAACCTTTCGTACTATTTTTAATGTTATTATAAATATAAAATATCATGATATTTTCAGTTTTGACGGCTTTCAGATTTTAAGTTTACTTTTGATATGTACCTTAAAAGAGTTCTTATCTTTTGAACTCCGAGTGAAATCAAACATCAGCTATTTGAAATGAAATGAAATGAAGAGTATAAGTGTCTTTAGTGGATGTCGATCGCTACTACTGTCTACTGGGTGAGTTCGGTACGTTTTCATGAAATAATTGACGCAAAAACCTTGACAACTTTTTGTCACATAATGCTTGATCGGAAATTGCACACTTCTCATATCCATCTTCAGTTCGTTATTTTTCTTAAATTAACTCTGATTTTACGAAACTGACGTTTGCAATTTTTTATTTAAATAAATCATGGTCCTTTCACGTTTATAGTATAAATTTTCAAATATATACTTCGTAAATTTCAAGTTATATGATGTTCTTTTCATTTTAAGATGTTTCAGAATATGTGACGTCCTTTTATTTTCATACAACTGTTATAACTAAAACTTAAATTAATTAATCTATTGGCACTTATAAACTTTGATATGACATTCGCTCTTTTGCAACTACTTTAATACTTTATTTGTATTAATTTATCTTACAGTGTTCGAATTTCAAGAGTTAAATAAATTATTTTTTGTCCATAATTTTTTCGCATGTCTTTTAAATGTTTTGAGTTACTTAGTTATTATGACTTACGGTACTTTTTACGTAATATTCAAATATGTAAATTTTATTTATTATGTTCAAATACACAGTCAAAATTAAAAAGTTTAAATCTCGAAAAATAAAAACTGTCACATAAATTGGGACAGCGAGAAATGTTTTTACTACAAATTAGTGTGGTGAAATGGATAAGATACATACACCCTTAACTAGAGGTCTCGAGTTCCTCTAGACTTCGAGAAGAAGAGATTTTGCAGAACAATTTCACTACTACCTTGGAGGTTATGGGTCATCGAATTTTGATATTGGTTTCGAACTTCGGGCACGTGGGCCCCGGTTGACTTTTGTTGATATTTGAGAATTTCTTCAAAGATCAGTGCTTTATGAATTTGGATCGCTACCTATGGCATTGTTGACCTTCTTTGATGTTTGGCTTGGATTTGCACGATTAGAGGGCTGGATCGAGATTTTGACACGATTCGAGTTTGAAGACGAGCCCGGATGAAGTAAGTATATTGCCTAAGCTTGGTTTGAGGCTACTTTTCCCATTGGCTATGATATTTTTTATATTTTGGAGGTGGCGTATATTCGAGGTGATGTGTATACGCGTGCACCGTAGTTATTCATGATTCGGGTAGATCTTAGGCCATTATATGCCATGCGGTTATTGTGCTATTGTTATTATTATGTCACGAGGTCTTTACCGTGCATGTATGGCGATATTGTTACTGTTATGGCACAAGATCTCTACAGTGTAGCGTGTGAATTTGGATCCATCCTCCTAGGGTCGTCCTCTCATACTTCTCTCTTGATGGCGTACATGCAGTTCGTGAGAAATCGACGAATTTTTGGTTGATTGTGATGTAGGGTCCGATATGATGAATTTTTAGCATAAAGGTGGAAGCTTTGACCATGCAAGTGAATTATTTGTACATATTCATGCATTTTACATTCTTTTTAGTTGATGCATTATACATATACATGGGACTTTCTAATGAGTAGTTGGACACCTCGATAGTGTCGGATTGATGAAAAAAAGGGAGTATGATCATACCATGGCATGGTGAACTAATGTAGAAGCATTCGTATAAATGCTATTTGGAATTTTTTAAGAAAATGGACCTTTATCATGAATAGTCCTTGGTGATCATTTTAGTATTTGAATTAAGATTATTTGATGCAAATTGTGTTGATACGCGAATTTCGTGCATTTGTACATGCTTTGATCTAGTTATTTGAAAGGTATGTTTGTTACCTTCTTCCTGAGTTGTGCACCTTATTGTTGACATCCGGTGTTATTTGGCTATTTCTCGGATATTTCTCTGTTGTTATACACACTATTGAGCTGCAGGTATATATAAAGTGAGTACCTTTTTGACTTAAAACCTCGCCACTACTTTATGTAATGACCCGATAGCTCGTTTTGAGTTTTAGCTTTCTGTTTCGTGATTTGAGACATTGAATAGCCTCATTTGATTATTTTTGACTTGTGTGCGTAGTTCGTTTCAATTTTTGGAAAGTTTAGATGTGTTTTTACGAAAATAAAATGGATTTTGAAACTCTAAAATTATTAGAGTTGACCTCAGTCAACATTCTTAATAAATGATATCGGATCGGTATTTTGATAATTTTGGTAGGGTCGTATAATAATTTTGGACTTGTACGTATGCTTGGCATGGGTTTCGGGTGACCCGGGGCCGTTTCGACGCTTGTTGTGGAAAGTTGGAATTTGAACTTATGAACACTTGAATTCTTTGAGTTTTGATGCTTGATTTTGGTTCTTGATATAATTTTGATATTTTGAGCTTGTGAGCGAGTTCATATGAGCTTATTATTCTTGTATGAATATTTGGAATGGGGCTCGAGTGAGTTTCAAATTAGTTTCGGACTAATTTTGCTAAGCTTGGAATTTCTGGTGCTACAGTCATCACAATTGCGATGATCTGCTCGCAAATATGAGGTTCGCAAATGCAAACTTGGTCTCGCATTTGCGAATAGGGGGATGGGTTGGCCAGCTTCGCAATTGCGAAGCTGGAATTGCATTTGCGACCTTCGCAATGCATTTGCGACCTTCACAATTACAAAGTATGTGTCACGTTTGTGACATCTGAGGCTCCAATCCCACTTCGCATCTGCAATCATGTGGTTCGCAATTGTGACATCTGCAGCTGGGTAAAAAGCAGTATTGGAAGGTTGACTTATTCCAGAAAGAGGTAAGTGTCTTAGTTAACCTTGATTTAAGGGAATTAGGATGTAATTGGGTCTATTTGCTATGTGTTATATGTGTTAGGGGCAGTATATATGCAAGGTGACGAGTGTATATGCATTTGGTATAGGTTAAGCATGCAGGTAGAACTATCCTTATTATGTCATGTTGCTTTTTGTATCATGTATTCTGTGCTTTAAATAGATTATGAAACTCATTGGGTGTTCTTATTCTTGTTAATAGATATGGTGAGCTTGTTTAGATAATAGGTGTTAAGATTATCTAAACATTGATTTGGCTATTGGTGCAAAAGTGATGGTTACCTCCCTTGTGGTGTGTTATATTTAATCACTCTTATTGATGTTGTGGTTGCTTCTTACCTTGCTTGGTACTGAATTACATATGCTTCGTGAGGATGAGTGATATTGCACGACGGGTGTGTCCATGTTGTGAGGATGAGTTATATTGCATGACGGGTGCTTCCGTACTGTGAGGATCAGGGATATTGCACAACGAGTGCTTTTGTGCTGTG